GACTATTGTTCTCATTTTCGTATTACACTCACTGTTACTTTATTTTTATCATAAAAAGTCTTTGTATCCCTCTGAAAAATAACTTACATCACAAAAATACTCATAGCTATTACTATGAATGTAATATCAAGAATAAGAAACCTACCTTATGATTGAAATTTTTCCAAAGGCACAATACAAGTTATCACATTATTTTCACATTTACAAATACCTCAAATAAGGAATTTAACAGCCGAACACTTCCAGACAAAACATTAGTTATTGTCCAGCACTTTGCATTCTATGTGCTAAAAATTAAGCCTTTAGTTCAAGCGAAAATCCTTCTCCCAGCTCAATCCTTCTAGCAATCTTCACTACATATAGACGCCCAATTAACATAGTCCAAGACGACTCCTAGGTTCTTGATAGTATGAGATAATCAAAAGAACACTATCGCGTAAATTCAGAATCCAGACTTTTGCTGACGACTTTCTAGATAATGACAACGAGATATTTTATTTGTGGCTCCTGCTCTAGTTTCCGATATCATTACTATATTAATCATCTAGAACAAGTCTAAAAGCGTTTAGCTCTGTAGTATTAGTGTGAACCCTATTTTTATGGTCCCAATAAGGAAGAGATTTAAACAAAGGAAAAAAAATAAACCGGTAAATTTGTCGGTAGACCCCTAAGGAAGAAGAAACCCTAAAGGCAAAATCTTTGACGTGCCGCAGCAAATCGTGTCGGAGATATTGCCATTAAGACCTACCTCCATGTCGCAATACATAACGTTCCGTTATTCCATCGAATGCTGAGGCACGTGTGAGTGTGTGCTGTTGACGAATGACGGGTTCCAATCTGAAACGAAATTGAATGCCCAAAGGCAAACGGTGAAAATTGCTATTCTTTAATAACCTTCCGGAATTAGAATTTCCGTTGAACGTAAAAATGGTTAAATTTTAAATTTAACATTTCCGTTTGTGAAAGGTGTACGGGAAACAAAGATTTACGCTTTCTTAAACCGCTAATACGGGTTGAGTTAAAGTTCAAGTAGGATATAGAATCGTGTTTTCCGACGATGCCCGAAAGGGTCATCAAACGGAGTTAATTCTGTATTTTATTGGAGTCGTATATTCTTAAATGTCAAATGAGAATTAATCGTTTAAATAAATAAAATTTTTTAGTGCAATTTCATTCATTACCTCGTGTTGGTTTCTTTATATTTTAGATGCCTCTTCGTCGAACGAGGCCGTCCACCTCCAACAACGATTGCGCAGCCTCAGCACCGAGTTGGTTACGTTACGGAACCGACTTCATGTACAAGGAGGCGCCGCGACGCCTGCACCCATCAAAGTACCGCCGGCAACAACCGCGACGTCGGTCGTTCCGCAAAAGGCGCCGTCGCTGCAACCATCTGCTATCACAACCACCGCCCAACATACCCAACATCACCAACCGGCCATTCCTCCACGATTAGCTGCGGTTATTGCGAACCCCTCAACTATTTTACCGACTAATCATCCGACATCACAATTAGCGTCCGTTGGAAACGCCGCAACGGTTAATCTTGAAGATCTCATTCATTTACAAGGACCTTTAACTGAAGACGCTGTTATGAAATGTCTTCAAGCGAGGTTTACAGCTGGAAATTTTTATGTAAGTAGAAATAATTATATAAATCGGATTACTTACTCAATTAAATCAATTTCACAAATGACAGTTCATAATAATAACATAACCTCAAATCTCAAAAAAATAATTTTAAATTTAAAACTTAAATTTATATAAACTAAATTTATGAATCAATCTTTTAATTAACATTAATTAATTGGATTAAAGGTATTAATTAATAAATATTGGGGCAAAATCGTCCAAAAAGTTATTTTTAACTAAATAATATTTTTAGTAAATTTATGTTTTTCATGTTGGTGAAATTGAAATTCGGCCATTTTGGTCTATGTTGGGGTAGGCGGGAAATTTTTAAAATTTGAAACATTGTTATAATTGTTTGTTTATAATACAATGAATCATAAAAAAACTTTATTAAAACTATTAACAAATATATTAACTTGGATATGACAGTGGAAATGTTGATAAAGAAGTTGACATGTCTCATTCCAGGAGAACTAGTCTACAGTAGGCGAAGTCTCTCTTTAACCCACAGTCCAGTCTTATGTTTGGTCATCGCTATTGATATACTAACTGCTAGCTCTGGCCCTACAAACGCTTTACCGCTGCCCTTTCGTGCTAACTCATCAGCCACTTCATTGCAAACAACCCCAAAGTGACCTTTGACATACATCAGAGAAACTCTGTTATCACAACTCAGTGTGTTTAAAGTTCTTTTGCAGCCATTAACCAGAACCGACACCGTTTTCACGGCCTGCAGAAATATAGACAGTTGTCTGTACTATCTATATTTCTGCGAATAGGTGGACCATAACATGTAGTCAGTTTCGGTCAATTTTCCTTTCCCTCCAAACTTGTGTGTTTATCTTATGTTTCGATTCATAACCATATTACTTACCTAAAATATTCTAACAGTATTTTGAGGGAAACTCTTTTTTAAAGAGTTAGCGAAGAATGCACTTCAAGGAAAGCAGCTATTACTCATAAAGTGCAAATTTGAGGTTTTGAGACTTAAGTTTACTTAAAGGGCAAGTATGTGAGTCTAGAATCCCCACAAACACCTCATGTATTATGATAGGTGTCATTGATTCACAAATTAATTTGTAGTTATTTAGTTAAGCACTTAGGCATCCAAATAAACTAGAATTCGCTCAAAATCAGAATCAACCTAGAGCAATTCTTGTATCAAAGTAAAATTGAGTAAAGTTGTTTTTGAGAGACTCGAAAATATAAATTGAATTATAAGTACGAAGAACCAAAAATAAAATAAGAACTAAAACCCCTCGAAAATTGCCTAAACGCACCTCCTGGACATTTATAAAAACTTCAAGAAGATTTTTGAAGATGTCATCAAGGGTTCAGAAGCTTTCTAATGATTTCCATGGTCATCAAAAGCTGTTTAAACACTTTCTGGACAATTATAAAGATTTCCAGAAGATTTTTGGAAACGTCAAAAAGTCTCTAGAAGCTCTCTAATGATATTCCTAGTCAACCAAGCATTTGTAAGTTGTTCTTTAATTATCAAAAAGTGTCTCAACGCCTCCTGGACGTTTATAAAAATTTTAACAAGACTTTTGAAGATGTCATTAAGCGTCCAGAAGCTTTCTAATGATTTCCATAGTCATCAAAAGTTGTTTAAACGCTTTCTGGACGATTATATAGAATTTCAGAAGATTTTTGAATACGTCAAAAGGTCTCTAGAAACTTTCTAATGATATCCCAAGTTAATCAGGCATTTGTAAGGTGTTCTATAATTATCAAAAAGTGTCTAAATGCCTCCTGAACGTTTATAAAGATTTCAAGAAGATTTTCGATTATGGCATAAAGGGTCCAGAAGTTTCTAATGATTTCCATAGTCATCAAAAGCTGGTTAAGCGTTTTCTGGATAATTATGAAGATTTCCAGAAGATTTTTGACGACGTCAAAAAGTCTCTAGAAGCTTTCTAATGATATTCCAAGTCAACCAACCATTTGTAAGTTCTTTAATTATCAAAAAGTGTCTAAACGCTTTCTAGATATTTATAAAGACTTCAAAAAGATTTTTGAAGATGTCATGAAGGGTCCAGAAGTTTATAATGATTTCCTAAGACTTTCTAAAAAGTCTCTAGACGCTCTCTAATGATATCTCAAGTGAATCAGGCGTTTGTCAGGCATTCATAATTATCAAGAAGTGTCTCAACGCCTCCTGGACGTTTATAAAAATGTTAACAAGACTTTTGAAGATGTCATCAAGAGTCCAGAAGCTTTCTAATGATTTCCATAGTCATCAAAAGCTGTTTAAACGCTTTCTGGACGATTATATAGATTTCAGAAGATTTTTGAATACGTCAAAAGGTCTCTAGAAACTTTCTATTGATATCCCAAGTTAATCAGGCGTTTGTAAGGTGTTCTATAATTATCAAAAAGTGTCTAAATGCCTCCTGGACGTTTATAAATATTTCAAGAAGATTTTTGATTATGGCATAAAGGGTCCAGAAGATGATTAAAATGATGATTTCCATAGTCATCAAAAGCTGGTTAAACGTTTTCTGGACAATTATAAAGATTTCCAGAAGATTTTTGAAGACGTCAAAAAGTCTCTAGAAGCTTTCTAATGATATTCCAAGTCAACCGACCATTTGTAAGTTGTTCTTTAATTATCAAAAAGTGTCTAAATGCTTCCTGGACATTTATAAAGACTTCAAAAAGGTTTTTGAGGATGTCGTGAAAAATGTCAAAAGCCGTTTAAACGCTTGTTGGACAATTATATAGATTTCCAGAAGATTTTTGAACACGTCAAAAAGTGTCTAGGTGCTGTTTCATGATATCTCAAGTGAATCAGGCATTTGTAAGATATTCCATAATTATCAAGAAGTGTCTCAACGCCTCCTGGACGTTTATAAAGATTTTAACAAGATTTTTGAAGGTGTTATCAAGAGTCCAGAAGCTTTCTAATAATTTCCATAGTCATCAAAAGCTGTTTAAACATTTTCTGGAGAATTATAAAAAAGCCATTTAAAACTAGAACTAACACTAAAAATATACAACAATTTAACGCTGAATAAGAACTAAAAGTAGAACTAATACTACTCCTACAACTAGAAACATTCGGGTTTAGCCGTCTTAAGAGACACACGCTCTTAAGACGACTAAACCCGAATGATTTTAGTTCTAGGTTTAGTGCTAGTTTTAATGCTAGTGTTAGCTCTACTTTTAGTTGTTATTCAGCGTTAGATTATTTTATATCTCTATTGGACTAAAACTAGAACTAACACTAGACCTAGAACTAGAAAGATTCGTGTTTAGTTTCTAGTTCTAGGTTTAGTGTTAGTTCTACTCTAAAACTAGAGCTATGGTCTTTAGACTGACTTCTTTAGTGTCACTTCTAATTTTAGTTATAATTCAACGCCAAGTTGTTGTATATTTTTATTAATCATAAATTATAATAATACATAAAATAATAATTAAACTCTTTCTGTCATTAATAAAAGGGTGTCTTTACCGGCTAAAACGGCGGATTTATTATCGAATTCAATTGGATATTTTACTGAGGGATGAGGATATAATTTATAATTCCTCAATAATAAACAAATTCCCACTTTAGCTTGCATTACTCCAAATCGCAGACCTATAACATAAAGATTTAAATCATGATTATCTTAAAATGTGTTTAATTAACTCACCGATACAAATCCTTGGTCCCTCACCGAAAGGAATATATGAATACGGAACTATGTTGTGTTTATTTTCATCGGAAAATCGATCCGGATCGAATTTATCGGGATTAGGAAAATATTCCTCATCTCTATGTAACCCCATAACGCTTATAAACACTTTTGTACCTTTCTCAACTTCAGCACCGTTTGGAAGTTTATAATTTTGGGTACATTTCCTCGGTAAGAAATGAACTGGTGGATATTTCCTTAAAGTTTCGTTAATAACTTGATCTAAATATTTCATTTCCATGATACCATCGTAAGTGATTTTACCATCGTGTTTTTTGATAATTCGCCGAATTTCCTCGCGTAATTTATCTTGCACCTCTTGATTATGCACCAATTCGTATAGAGCAAAAGTAACGGTAGTCGAAGACGTTTCAAAACCGGCGATGAAAAAAACGAAAGCTTGAGCGGCGAGTTCTTCCAGAGTAAACGGTTTTTTGCCTTCGCTTTTTAACGTTTCTTGCATATTTATTAAGATTTGTAAGAAATCGTTGCGGGTTATCTTCTCGGTTTTTCTATAATTCAACATATCTCTTATAACCCCAATAAAAAATTCAGATACATCTTCTTGAATAAATTTTAATTTAAACAATTTCATTAACCGCGGTGAAGCTGCCGATAAAAGTCTTCTAAAAACAAATCTTAAGCTAGGCGTAAAAACTTTTCTCCCATACTTTCTAAATTGAGCATCCGCATTTTTAAAGCTATTACATTTCAAACCAAACGCGCAAGAACCAATTACATCGGTGGTAAAACACGCGATAACCTCTTTTATATCTAAAGCTACATTTTTTTCGTTACATTTCTCTACGAAATCTTCAAGCTGTTGGCCACAATCCAATAAAGTTTGAAACATCATCTTCATTTTACCCGAAGTAAACGTTGGGGTGAGTTTAACTCGCATATCTTTCCATTGTTTTCCATCCAAATTAAATAAATGTGCTTGTAAAGGTTCCTCTTTTGCATCGTATTCAACACCGTGGCTATGGAAACTTTGGAAGTCTTTGTTCATAACGGTTTTAACAGCTTCTGGATGAACTGCTAATAAAGCTGGCTTTGCCCCCGTATATAACCCAGCGTAATGGACCCCTTGCGATTTAAATTCTTCATAAATACCTTTCATGTGAAGTATAAATCCAGGTCCACCAAAAATTGAACCTAAATTTCCGAATGGAATGCTAGGTTTTATCGTTGGTACTCCTTTTTTTTCCCAATATTGAAATGATTTTTGGTAATACTTGTATATTAATAGGGTTAATATACCCACGCAAATTAAAAACACAATCATTTTAAGTACAACCCGATTTCGTTTTTATCGAATGTGAATTAAAATTTGATCTCGAAAACACGGAGTTTCGATATTTATATGGGTAAAACTGTAGAGTCAACGAATAGATAAGAATGTAGTTTGTAATTATGACTTAGCACTTGCGGAGTGTTATCTTTTAAGTATTTTTGAAAATAATGTAAACAAACTGTGAGAAGTCATATTGTTTTAATACTTATAAGAGATAATATTATGGAATGATAGAAAGTTTTGAGCTTGGATCGAACTCGTGGTGCTGTGGTTTTTTGACTTGGTCATTGAACAGCGGTGACCTTGAATCCGGGGACACCTGTGATCGGGACGAATCTTTCAGACGGCCCTAAGCGCCACAGCTTCTTATTATAAAAATTCGAGCTCGCCGTAGAAGAGATACGTTTACATACCATTCCCTTAAAAGCACCGTTAATTATTACTACATGTTCCCCGACACTTATCCGAATCATTTTTAACACCAAAATCCAATCAATCTTACAACTTTGTTTTCGTGTATATCCAATTAAACTGTTAATACACGCGCGCGGACTATCAGTTGTAATTTAAATTTCTAATTTTGCACTAGCGTCATTTTTTGTTGGCTAGCTGTCGTTGTCGATATTCGATATTATTGACAGGCAGAAATAACAGTTCTAATAACAAATATTATTTGTGAAATGTTGTCTGAAGATGTACGGCTAAACCCGAAACTTTCTAGTTTTATAAATATTAATCGGAATTTGTTTGAACAAGTTGGGTTCGTGTCCCGGCGCTGCTAATTTTTCCTTTCTGTTATTCCTGTCCTGTAACGTATAATTTAATGTAATATCCCACCTTCTGGTTTTTCATTTCTAGTTTTAGGTCTAGCGTTCGGGTTCTAGTGTTCTAGGTATAATGTTAGTTCTACATAGTAACAGTGCTAGTGTAAAACTAGAACTAACACTAGAACTAGAAACATTCGGGTTTCTAAACCAACCCAACCCAACCCGAAACTTTCTAGTTCTAGGTCTAGTGTTAGTTCTAGTTTTAATTGGTGTACAGCGCTAGACCTAGAATCGTTTGGGTTTAGCCGTCTTAAGAGATGTGCGGCTAAATCCGAGTGTTTCTAGTTCTAGATCTGATGTTAGTTCTAGTGACAGTGCAGGTATAAAACTAGAATTAACACTATACCTAGAACTAGAATCATTCTGGTTTAGCCGTCTTTAGAGACGTGCGGCTAAACCCGAATGATTCCAGTTCTAGGTATAATGTTAGTTTTAGTGACAGTGCAAGTATAAAACTAGAACTGACACTATACCTAGAACTAGAACGATTCGGGTTTAGCCGCACGTCTCTAAAGACGGCTAAACCCGAATGATTCCAGTTCTAGGTATAATGTTAGTTTTAGTGACAGTGCATGTGTAAAACTAGAACTGACACTATACTTAGAACTAGAATCATTCGGGTTTAGCTGTCTTTAGAGACGTGCGGCTAAACCCGAATCATTCTAGTTCTATTATTGGTTTAGCTGCACGTCTCTAAAGACGGCTAAACCCGAATAATTCTAGTTCTAGGTATAGTATTAGTTCTACATAGTAACAATGCTAGTGTAAAACTAGAACTGACACTAGACCTAGAACTAGAAACATTCGGGTTTAGCCGTGCGTCTTAAAGTAGGTAAACTTTAAAGTAATTTTTCTCCATAATTTTCTTATGTAACTCATTTTAATATTGACTGTAATAGATTCAGAAAAACGCCACCTTTCATATTTCGTAATAAAAATGGAGGATTGCCATTTGAAAAAAATATCGATGACGTCATAGATTAGATTAGATTCGTTTAAAAATGGCGGAAAAAATTGAAATCTACACCAAAAAAATTTAAATCTTTAGACCCGTTTCAGGGATTTTTTCATAAACCGTTTATAATGATTTTATCGCCTATATCCGCTACTTTACGGACACACTGTATAGTAGAACTAGAATCATTTAGATTTAGCCGTCTTACGAGACGTACGGCTAAACCCGAATGTTTCTAGTTCTAGATCTAGTGTTAATTCTAGTTTTATACTTACAATGTCACTAGAACTAACATTAGACCTATGTTAATTCTAGTGACAGTGTAAGTGTAAAACTAGAACTAACACTAGATCTAGAACTAGAAAGGTTCGAAACATTCTAATTCTAGATCTAGTGTTAGTTCGAGTTTTAATTGTTATTCAGCGCTAGATTGTTGAATATTTTTATTGAAAGGTTAAATACAGGGTGTCTCACGTAATTGGTTCGTTATAACTTTTTCTAGTTCCACTATTCGTAGAGATTTGAAATTTTGGTAGCATGGGTTGTTCATTCAGAACTTTCGATCTAAAATATTTTCAAGATGGCCGCCACTTCCTGTCTACCGGAAGTAAACAATAAGTTCGTTATTTTAAATGGAATGCTAGTTTTTATTACACCGTTTAATTGTACGTAAAAAATAGGTTGACTTTGATACAAGTTATTGGTACCTAGCGTTTTTCGTTTTTGACTTATTTTGGTTTTAAGCTTCTTTTGGTAAATTTCAACATGCTCTTTAAATCCCCATACCTCAGCCAACGTTCATTCAAAAAAGATCTACATTTGTACCATTACTCTTCAGATGCTGTCAAATAGATTGTTATTTGTTGTATCAAAATATCTTATAGGTACAGGTCAAAGATTCAATTACTGTTTCTCCATATTCAATGTCGAGAATTTTAAATAGAACGCCCCATATTTTTTTAGCTTATCGGAAAGAGAATTTAATTCTCTACAAATTGTCTATAAATGTGCCTATACCTATTTATTGTAGTTTGTCTCATATTGGGAAATTTATTAAAACATGCATGAAATGCTATGGAATTAAAAGTTTTGGTGATGTGCCGTGGCATCTCAAAGCTCCTGATTATTTTTTATGTGGTACCTAAATGCGGAGGTCTACGTCGATAAACCTAGAAATCTACAGGAGTTGAAAAAAGCTATCACAGTACTCGTTAGGGAAATTGACATCGACCTGTGTGAGAAAGGGATGAGGAACTTTGAGGATCTGCCTGACATTATCTTCAAAACATAATTTCACCTTTTTATTGTTAAATGGTAACATCTAAACTTTACTTTTTCATAAATAAACTTTTTATAAATTAAATAACAGCTGAGTTGTTCTCATTTCAAAAACGCCCTTCAATTCTGCCCCAGCCTGTATATCATTGCATAATTTATAATTAATAAAAATACTTAGTTGTTTATAGCTGAGCGATTAATTCAATTTATTTTTNGAAATATCGCAAAACAAAAGCGATGCGGTATTATCCAAGCTATTAAATGATGTTGTCAAAGATATAGCTCATCGTCTAAGTTTCTGAGATAGCGGGAACTTTATGTTTCTCAATGGCAGTTACGCCCCCTAACGGTCGAATTACGAACTTCAAAATAATTTCCAGCTATTTCTCTTGGTCACTTTGCTTATAAGGATTTTTTTCCCAAACCTCTAGGCCTTAACGTCCTAGAGATACAGCCGCTCCGTACGCTTAATGGGATACCCTGTACAGGTGATTTCCTTGAAATCGATTAAATAAGTGCATGTTTTTGTTTTTAATCTACGAATATGGAAAGAAATAATAATTATAACAAAATATTCTTAATATGTTTTTCAAAATGTATGATAATTTTGACTTTAATTACAATAAATCGAAATATACAGGGTGATTTATTAGCTCACCATCAAATTACCACCAGTAGCTGCTGTTCGAGGTCGTAAATTTTGAGTATGAAGTTTTCTTCTTATGGTATCTTGACTAACAGCAGTGCCATGAACCTCGCTTAGTTGTATTTGGAGGCTTCGCGCAGTAGTAAACCGTTCCCTAAGCATCAAAAATCGATCCTCCACCGCATTTCTAGTTCGTGGCCTGCTTATTCAGCGCTAGACTGTTGAATATTTTTATTGAAGTAGTTGAAAGGTTAATAATACGTATTAGAAAAGTATGTATATTAGATTACATAGTAGAACTAGAATCGTTTAGGTTTAGCCGTCTTAAGAGACGTGCGGCTAAATCCGAGTATTTCTAGTTCTAGGTCTAGTGTTAGTTCTAGTTGTAGTTGAATAGAAATATACAACAATCTAACACTAAATAACAACTAAAAGTACAGGCAACACAAGCACTAAAAATCCGAATGTTTCTACTTGTAGGTCTAATATAACTTTTAGTTCAATAAAAATGTATAGCAATTAGCGCTGAATGACAATTAAAATTAGAACTAATACTAGTACTTGAATGAACTAGTACTTCAACTGACACTAGATCTAGAACTAGAAACATTTGTGTTTACTCGTGCGTCTTTCAAGAAGAAGCTTTCAATATACAAATGGATTAACGACAAAAAAAGTTTAATTTCTAGTTTATACAGGGTGAGGCAGAATGGAAGGGCGTTTTTGAAATGAAAATAACTCAAATGTTGTTTAATTGAAAAAAAGTTTATTTATAACAAAGTACAGTTTATAAAGTACTGTACTGTTATTTTAAGTTTAAATAAATGTAAAAATTCGAATGTCAGTATGGAAGTTCTACATATCCAAATTCGTTTTATGTCCAAATTATGAAAGCCAATAGTTTTACTATCATTGTTATAATGTTTTACAGTACAAAAGCATTAAAAGAATAGTGGAAAAAGTGTAAACTTTTACAATTTTTACAGACGGCAAACTTGGAACACAAAAACTTTGTGTACAACCTGTATACGTACTAAAGGGCACCAAACAACCAAACACTAACTGGACAGATTAAAGTGGTTTATTATTATTATTATTATTACAAGAGAGCGCGTATAACGTTCGACGATTCATACATTATTAGACTGTACTTGGCACAATGATGTCTACGCGTTGTGCGTAGTTGCAACGCTATTCGGCCGACTGAACGCAGAAAGTGGTGGTGGGGCCATCCCGTATTTTACATGTTCGTAATAGTAATATTTTGTAAATATACTAATTTCCT